CGCATTCCACCTTGCTAATCCTGAATTTTCCTGTTCAGACCAAAAGATGTCTTAGCTCCTGCTAACATCCTTGCCATTATGTTGATGCAAATACAGTCACGAGGCAATTACCAGCCCAGCCAAGGGCCAGCCATTGTGGGGTTGACAATAGCTTGTCAGAGGAGAAACAAATACCCTCAACCTTCTCCAAGATTTTAAGTCTCATTAGTGTAAATCAGTAACCCAATTAATGAGGGGTTTAGCATATTGATTTGCATCGGATTACAGGAATTAATGACACACGTAGAGGGACATGCTGGGGAGATGAGCAGCTATGCAGGGGAACTGTAAAGCTGCAATACATGAACGAGGGGCACAGGCACCCCAGATTTTGTGATAGCGATGAAGCTGCTCCCACTCAGCTCCTGTGAAACCATCAGGGTGACAGACATTACCTGGCTGTTGAAATAAATCATAGACTCATCAAGACTGGGAAAAACCTCTAAGAATATCAAGCCCAGCCCTTAACCTATGAATGCCAGGTCCACCACGAAACCATGTCAATGATTAACAAGTGGAGCAGATTTGTTGATGCTAGTAAGAGCTGCTTTTAAAATCAAAACTTCTGTTCTAGCAGCTGCAGCAATCCCTGGCTGGTGTTGAGTGGAGATGGCTTGCAAGGGAGACCACCAAGGTCCATGGGTGAGATACGTTCCCACTCTGCTGCTGCTGGGACACAGGGAATGCACAAGAGGAACAACCACAAAGATCAAAGGTTTGGGGAAAAGGAGCCAGGGCAGCAAGGAACCACAGGGCCACTGCTCATCGTAGTGAGCAGGCTAAAAGGCAAAAGGGTCTCCTTTTGGTCAAGGCAGAGCAGGTCCAGGAAGGAAAAACATCCCCAGTAGTTACCCACCCAACAGCACAGGGAGAGCTACATCACATCAGGACTTACCATCAGCAACCCCCAAAACCTTCTGGGTTTAGCAAAAGCTTCTTTGCCACAGCTGCCTGCTCCTCCTGCACCCAGCTGTGTCCCCAGCTGTGCCAGGCTGTCCAGCCCCTGGGATCATGAAAAGGACAGTTGTCCCAGAGAAGAGGGACAAAGGGACCCGCGTGCCCAGGATGCCTTCCCTTCCTCCCAGGGCAGGCAGCCCCTCCTTGCTCCAATAGTTATAAAAGGGCTCTCAATCCATGTAATCCATTAGATACAAATTACAGCAATTTGAGCACACTTAACCTAGAATTACAGCAAACCCATAAAGAGCTGTGTCTTCCCAGGCAATTTACACTGCTACAAGCGATCAAACAAACCACAGCAGAGGATTAAGCAACAAGAAAAGAAAAGCAAACCAAACCCAGAAAACCTGATTCCTGAAATTATCAAGAAATACCCAACATTATCAAGAAATGAGAACTATTACCAGGGCTAGTTCACACTCAGGTGGTCCTAAAACCACCACTACTGCATCATCTTTAACCAACCTGTGTCTTCCAGGTATCTTAAACCATTAAATCCCGGCAATTTGAAAGATGCCATGAAGCACAGCACACTTCACCATTTGGGATCAGGATTGCAGTGTTCCTGCATCAATTTTCACCCCTTTCTACACATTCTTATATTTATTTTTAAATTACCACCAGTCCTAGAGAACATTCTGAAGAAGAGAAGCAGCAGGGGTCAGGCAATCTTGCCAGCCTGGCCAGAACTGCAGTGCTGGTTTATGAACCACTGCAGGCAAGTGTCCCCTGGCCATCACATCTGGCAGAGACACTGCAGTTACCCCAGTGGAGCTCACATGGAAAAAGAAAGCCACCAACATTAAAAAAAAAAACCCGTAAGTGCAAGTAGTTTTCCTCCAATAAACAGATAGATTTGTCCAAGCCCTCATTTCCTGCAGCAGCAATGCACACCAGTTTGCACACACCCCCCAGTCCTTGGTTCTCAGGGTCCCCAGGATGCTCCAGGCTGGTCTGCATTGGCAAAACCTGGGTGTCAGCCATTCTAGATTGTGGAGATGTGGCATGGGCTTCCCCAAGGACAAGAGCAAATGCCGTGGTTTTGTGCTGGCCAGTGAAGGGCACAAGCAGCAGCTGTCACTGATCTGCTTATTGCTGTAACTGATGGGGGACACTGCCACATTGACACTGTGGGCTGCACGTAGGAGGGAAGAGGGTGACATTGTGAGAAAGGTGACAAACAGGGCTGGAATCTACTCTAGGATAAGTAACAGCATCCAAAAAGATGGAAGGGATTTGAATGTGCTGTGCTCTGAGATGCCCAACACCAGATGCTACGATGAGGAAGGAGCCAGAACCAAAACAGAGGGCTTGCCTGGTCCAGCCAGGCATCAATCAAAGCAATTAGGGGCTGGTGATGGGAACAAGAGCACAATCTGGTGTAAGAAATGACCACTGTTCCGAGAGGTTGCAACCTCCAGAATTAATGCACCACCTTGCCATGAAGTCAAACACAGGTTGGCTCAGCCAGGACAAGAGCAGGACCCTGCCCTGGAGTGTGGAGACTCCTTGTGTTGCTCTGGCCATTTGTCCTGACATGGGGGGGGGGGCACCAACACAGCACAAAATCAGAGACTCTGATCACAGCCCAATCACATGCTCTCCTTTTCCCCCTCCACGTGCCACCTGTGAAGCCATTTCAGGACAGGCACTGAGCTGTTAAAACAGGTCCTATTAAGAGCTGGATCTTTTAATTCCAGCACTTTGGGAGACAGCACCTCCCATGCTGCCAAGGACACCAACTTTCTGCTTCATTTTGCATTTGAAGCGCACTTACCAGCTCCATTAACTTTAATAATTAATTCTATATATGGGAATTTTTCTTTAAATCATGCTCATAATGGCATTGATCACATGGGAAAAAAAAAAACAACAAAAAACATATGAAAGAGGGGAGCACATGCCTTCCCCGAAGGGAGCAGCATGTCGCATCCCTTCCCGTATGGTTTAGTTTACAAGCTCATGTCAGAGAGCCAACTTCACACACAAACACAAAATAAAAGCAGGAACACAACTTTTGATCGTCCTACATTGATGTTTACTCTTGTTTCCTGCAGCCCCAGGTGACAAATCTGCCCTTTATATACTGGAAAGTCTCTTGTGCTATTAACAAAGTCAACTGGACACGCTTGAAACTGATGGGATGTCGTTACATTGGTGGCTTGTACCAAACTAAAGAATAGTACTTAGTGAGCAATTAGTTATAAAACGATAAATATAAATTCAGAAGTGTTTTTGTTTTCTGAGCAGAAATGCTCAAAACCAGAATTTACAAGGAACTTTCTTACATATGAACACTTAGGCCGAGAAGGGAGATGTTGGAGCAGGCAGCCACTCTGAACATAAGGGCTTTTGTTCCACCAATCTCAGAGCTCTGAAGAAGTTTTACTTTTTTTATTCTTTTTTTTTCTTCATTTAACTCTGCTGGCCTGCCAGCTGGGTATGAGCCAGAAGGGTTATCCAGTCAGACCTTACTGCGATATATTTACAATGGTAGTGCATCTAAGGTTTGTTTATTTCAGGATTAAAATTCAAATGGCTAGAACCAGTTAAATAATTAAAGGGCAATCAGAAAATGCCATGAAACCAAACAAATCAGGAAAAGTCATGGAAACCATCAGCAATATTTAATTCAGAAATTCTCTTTGTTAGGGAACTTTGCTGAAAGAAAACAGCTGGATGTAGTTCAACCCTCTAAATTAAAAACAATCTAACAAGGTCTATAGGGATAACTCTTTCAGCTACATATTGGAGACCAGATTCACTTCTACCAAGTAAATGTAATAGCACTCAAAGCTAGAAAGGAAATTCCTCAGAACTGAGGTAGTTTCTAAGTATCAGCACATTTTCCAGTTCCTCGCAAGACAACTTAGCTATTTACAATCCATTTTTTCCCACACATAAATTTATAGTTTTTTCAATTTTATGGTTCCATGATTTATTTTCTAAAGAAAAATAATCTAACCAGAATATCCCTAACTCTAGTAACATCATGTTTTAATAAATAACTGGCTACTTCTAGTAAAATTAAGCCTCCAGAATTATTTATACCAACCAAGAATACTCTGTCTTTAGAGCTTTGCAGAAATTTGGTGTGAAAATAAAGTTGAGTATAATGCTGACCCTGAGCTAACAAGTAATTAATGCTTCAATATAAAAATAGAAAATTATCCTTTAGGACACATGGGTGGAATAGAGCAAACCTTTTCTCTCTGGATTGCTCTCCTGGCCAGATCCAGGCATCCAGCCAGACCTAAAGGCTATCCAAAGCAGGAAGAGACGTGAAGAACAGTTTTGAGTCTTTCCAAAGACGTTGCTTTCGCTAAACTCTTTCAAAAATTATTTCATCTCTTTTCTTAAAAATATACATTTCTTTTATTCATGAGTTGCTGTTCACCACAACATTGTTCCAACTCCAAAAGCACAGGTAGACAAAGGAGGGTGTTTCACGTAGTGCTGAGAAGCTACAGGTGCTGGGCATCAGGTCTCAGGAGACCAAACACACCCAAAATGAGGCATCTTCAGCCTGCCAGCTCCTGCTTCCGTGTACCTGCAACAGTGCCTGCTCCTTCTCTCTTGCCCCCATCAGAGAGGGAATAAAACTGTTACAAACACAAACCCAACCCCTCCCCACCTGCCCTCCCGCACAGGATTCCTTAAAACCAGAACCGAAACCATTAAAAATTAACCCAGCATTCAGCTAACAAACGTGCAGACAAGACACATGTTGGCATTTGGATCTGCAAGACCACAAGTTGTTTCCAACTGAACAAGTTTAATGCCTCATTCCCATGGGGGATGCACGTTGGGAACTGACCCACAGGAGTTACAGCTAATTGCAAGGATCCCGGGGAACAAACGACAACTCTTCTCAGCGTCTGCAGAATGGGAATTCTCTGTAGTCCCTTCCAATTTAACCAAACCTCCTGTAAAGCGAGCACAACCTGCTCCTGGCATGAATGCCCTATGCAAACAGGGCCCTTGGCACGATGACCAGCTCTGCCTTCACCTTCTGTTTTTACCGCATAATGAAGACAAATGACTTCCACTTCTCTCCAAATAAGGCAACTAACATAATGTGGATAAATGGGAAGTTAACTACATGAAACATTTTCTGCTTGTTGGGCAATTATTTTTTCCTCATAAGATAACATGATAAATAAAACCTGCTTCTGTACAGATATTTCTCATTTCAGAAACACATACTTGTTACAGGCCAAGAGAAGACCCTGGGGTTTTTGTTTTCATAAGAAATACAGTAAAAGAAAAAACCAAAACAAAACAAAAAAGAAGTGATAAAGACACAAATGCAGAGCTAACTACAGGCTTGTATATACATTTTTGTTATCCACCTCTAACATGGACTCTTGGTGAATGGGATAGACTGGTACTTCCCGTTCCTGTTACTCCCAGGATAGCAAGGGAAAAAAACAATCAGTATCTTTAAAACCAGTGGCAACATAGTAAAAACTGTACACTGTTGTCCATTAACTTAAAAAGCAAAGTCTCTAGATGGTATAAAAGTGAAAGCAGGTGCCTTCTACCTCTGATAATAAAAGTCTTTTCCCCTCCCCCTATGCTGCACAATTATCTCCATTGTCTTTGCATGGCCAAGAACAAAATGCTAAGGAGCAAGGCTGCTTGTGATAGACCGCTTCTGGTGGCAGCAGAAGTGTTCACGGTCTTGTCACTCTTGTTGGAGTTCCCAGTGACCTCGGTGGCGTTGAACTCGAACTCCGGGGAGCACTGCTGGAGCTCACAGCCGCTGCCGCTCTCCTCCCCGCTGCTCTCCTCACCTGGGGAAACAAACACACCTGCTGTCCTCCTCTGCTGGCTGCACAAGGCAGCATGGGGAAAAGGCAAGAGTGAGGCTGTTCTGGTGTTTATGAGAGGGAAGCATGGGTCCCCTGGTTAATGTGATTTCTGTGAGCAGTCATCACGTCTGGGCGATGGGTGCAACCCAGAAAGTCAACCACATCCTGGGCTGCATCAAAAGCACTGTGAGCAGCAAGCCAGGGGAGGGGATTCCCCCCCTCTAGTCCACTCATGAGAACCCACATGGAGCACTGCATCCAGCTCTGGGACCCGCAGCACAGGAAGGATCTGCTGGAGGGAGTCCAGAGGACGACACAGAAATACTCAGAGCCTGAACACCTTTTCTATGAATCCAGACTGAGAGAGCTGGGATTGCAGCATTAAGACAAGGGGTAGTGGTTTTAAACTAAAAGAAACTAGATTTAGATTTTATATAAGGAAGAAATGGTTTTATGATGAGGGTGGTGAAACTCTGAGGCACAGGCTGCCCAGAGAGTGGTAGGTTCTCCATCTCTGGAGAGACTCAAGGTCAGGCTAGTTGGATGGGGCTCTGAGCAGCCTGATGTAGTAGATGATCTCCCAGCTCATTGCAGGGGTGTTGGACTAGATGACCTTTAAAGGTGCCTTCTAACCCAAACCTTTCTATGGCTTTGTGGGAACACCCCTCCTCACACAGCCTGTCGGAGAGGCTGGTTCCCACCCTCCTCACTAACACGCTTACCCACAGCTGAAGCTTAACCAGCTACCCGTGTTACCATGAAATCCAATTAAAAGGGAAAAAAGAAAAAGCAAAAGGCAAACAACAGCAAACATACTTATGTCAATGAAGTCGACATCATTCCCACTGTAGGCATTCTTCAGCTTGTTGGTCATCACCCGCAGAGCCATGATTTGCCGGCGAATCACCATGTCTGGTTTGGTAATGTCAACTTCAACCTCTGGGTTATTCACTTGACTTGCTAAGCCATTTCCAGTCACTGCAAAGTCATACCTGAAAAGAAACCATTCCTGCTGGTACCAGAGCTACAGCTCAGCAGGGTCCCATGCTGAAGGATGACAACATGGGAACGCTGCAATGACATCCCTGCTTTCAGTCTGGGTAATATTCTGAGCCCAACAGCATCTTTCCACATGATAAACCTCACACAGCCCTTCTTACCCCATCTCCCTTCCCTGCAATCTCTACAGCATGTGGAATGAAGGACTGTTTTAATTTGCACTGTGCCACAAGGGCAGGGGAATGACAATTTTCTCCCCAACTTGAAAAGAAAAATCTGGGGTTTATATTAATAATAGCTTTCAACAGCATAAATCAGCTTGCTGCTGGCTACAGAGCAATACATGGTGCTGAGATGCCTTGATGCCAGTTGGATGACACTTTTGGGAACACAACCTTTGAGACCATAGTTAGCCCACAGAAACCTATAGTAACTGTTGTATAGTGTTGGAAGCAAGAGTATCATTCTAGCTTTGAGTATTGCACCTTAACCATCAAGCTGGGATATTGAATGCGTGCTTCTCACCACGCAGACGTGAGATGCAATTTCCCTAATAACCCCAGCAAGAGAAACACCTGTGATGCTGAAGATGAGATCCTGAAGCCCCACACATCAGAGAAGGGGAGAGGCAAGATGCTCAGCTTCAGAAGGTGTACATGCTCAGGTCTGAACACATATACAGCCTCCTGGTTTAAAAGAGAGACTGAGCAACAAAACCCAACAGATTGCATTTCCTGACACAGGTATTTGGAGTATCATCTTATACAGCAGGGATAGGACACATTCCCCTCTCCTCCAATTACCTGGCTTGCTAGAAAGATCAGTTTAACAGAAAAGAACATTACTTTTCTTAGTTATGATGCCAACATCAGTATCACAAGAGAGAGAAAAGCCTTTAGCACAGTCTACTGATCCTGGACATTGGGCAGTGAGAAGTAAGCATTCTCTGAAAAGCATGCTCAAACCCTGACCTATATATATGGGAGTGACAATGACAGTGATAATTGGTAATGACAGTTTTGTTATTATTTGTGATCAATATATGTTTCAAAGAAGTCTGAGACCAAAGAGCGGAAGACTACTGAAATTCTGCCTTATCAGAGCCATGGAGAAAACAGTAAAGCAAATTATCTTGTCCAACCCACATAGGTTATGCAGCCTGCCCTGTCTCCTTGCCAAGTCTCCATCTCTCCTTGATACTGGTGCCCCTGCACACACTGGGGGTATCTGCTATGAAAAGCCCCTAGAAGCTGCTGACAAACACAATTTCAGGAGGCAGAGCCATTTCTTGTCACATACACCCAAAACATCACCCTAGCGAAGTGTAGCAGAGTTTTAGGCACACACAAAACAGTGCAAAATTATGAGGTCTGGCTTAGTGCTGTGGCCCAAAACTATCAAGAGCAGAACCTACTATTACTTAGAAAAACTGCTGGAAAACCCCAGACAACGGCTTTTTTTAATGGAACATCTTGGACTGTGATTATTTCCTCAGTAAGCAAACAGAAAAAAAAAAAAAAAAGAAACTTTTATTTCCAAAATAAAAGTAAAACAGTTACATAAACCATATGACAGAAAAACTCTGGCTTAGTCATGTGTTGGCAATTTTTTCCTTACAAGAAAAAAAAAGAAGAAAAAGAGAGAGTTTTGTAACTCTTTTTTTCCATATAAAGTGTGAATGTAACCACTGGCCCCCTTGTGCCACTGACCTCAGCAGTGGAGAAGGTCTCCAACCTCCATCATCCCTGTCCTTGCTGCTCAAAGAAACCAGTTCCTGGTGGAAACACCAACTGGGGGAACTGGGGCAACAGCACTGTCAGACAATCCAAGCACCTCTGCTCTGTGGCTGCAATATAGGATTTTGTACAGATCATCTCCCCAGTTCCACAAACAACTAGTAAGGGGCTTAAGTCCAAGGAGAGATGACCTATTTGGGTATCTGTGCTCTGTTCCCTCCTCTAGAAGAAACTCCCACATAGAGGTTGGACAACACTTTGGTGCTACATTCCAGCTCTCCCATCTACAAAAACTAAAGGGGTAATAGCAGCAGCCTGTCTTGGGTGAGCTGCAATCACTCCTGTAGGAGAAAAGGGCTCAGGGAGAGGTGTCAGGACACAGGGAAAGTCTGCAGTGAGAGGGAAAGAGTTAACCAGGGGCAACAGCACCACCAAACCTGCTCTTGGCGCTCCCATTCCAGCACTCGTTCTCATTGACAGTGCCTACAGACATCTTTTCATCATTGCAAATGTTGCCAGGAAGAGATGACCAAAATTTTTTGGCTTGTTTCAGCTTCTCTTTCACATCAGTAACCTATTAAATAAAAGAAAAAAAAGAACACAAGACATAATCCAGAATACCAAATGCTCAGTAAAAGTGAAGTTGGGAAGGTATTTTTTATCACAACAGACGTGTACAGGCCAGATCTTCAGGCTGTAAGTTTTGATGGTTGATTTACTTTTTTAATACAAAATTAAACACTGCTCCTCAAACACATATTATTCATATGCCAAGCTTTTAACACAGGCACTCCTCTGACATAGAAGCACTGAGGTAATTAATGTCTAGAACTATGGACAGATTACACCCCTTAGAGAGTTTTAAGACAGCCAAGGAATATTAAGAAAGCCTATCAATTAAAAATGGTAAATTATACACTGTGGTACCTGAGTATGAAGCGCCTGTGTGGCACCAGCATGAACAGACACTCACCAGTCGGTCCAAGCTCGTGCCAGCAGCTGTTGTTGGTCGTTCCTCTGGGTTGTAGGGTCTGAAACGAGCACTGAAACTACTTTCAGAGACAGAGCGAGCAGTCCGGCCTTGGGAAAGTGTTTTTGGCTGGCCACATCCCTGGAAAACCTATGGGAGAGAAGGAAAGGATTTTATGAAATAAGAGGTCACAAGAGCTTCTCTCTTCCAGGGTCCAATGCAGTATCTGCCCAAAATAATACATTAGCTTTATATATATTTGAAAGGGCATTCAAGAAAATGCATATTGACAAGAATAGGGAAATAAAACACATTAAATAAAAAAACTCAAGTGTCCTCTTGGCTCATTTACCTTCTGAGACACCTGCATGCTGTTCTCCTGCATGTTCATGATCGCATCTGAAATTTTCACATCAATGGGGTCCATGACAGACTCAATGTTGAAAGGTCCCTCCAGCCTCTCTGCTACCAGCAGCATTGAATCTAACACACAGAGAGAAAAATGAAGGACTTTAACAGAGGAGCTTCAGGAGTAAGAGTTAAGAAGGGTAACAGTTTGAGCACATGGACATTAACCACTGCAGTGTCACCTCTGACCAGCACACATCTCCAGGAAACATTTTGCTCGGTTCCCAGAGCCTACACCTTCACCAGACACTTAGATGCTGCCAGCACCAAACCACAGGCTCACGGACATCAAAAGCCATCACAGCCTGCCAACAGCAGCCTGTAATCAGCTCCTCCCATCAGAACAAGCATTACTAACACTCTCCTTTCCATGCTCGTTTATTAAAGGTTGCCTTGTGTCATTTGTTTTTCAACACTGCTTCCAAAGCCATCATCTTCCTCATGCTGGTCTTGAGCACAAGGCACCAACACGCAAGGGTCCAAGATAATCCTTGATACCATCTTTCCCTTATGGACAGCTACAGGAATTTTCCTGCCTGGGGAAGCCAAAGGATTGCAACTCCTAGAATTATATGGACAATTTGCATAAGGGAGGGAGTCTGTGTGAGAGGAGGGTGAGTGCTGTACACTCATGGTGTATTTGACACATCTCTAAGTAAGGGGAGATGGAAAGTCCCTCAGCCAACACTGGGTCACTCCTCCTGTGCTGACATGCATGTCCTCATCAAATGCATCATTAAACACAGCAGCTACTGGACCATCCACTACTTCCTCTGGGAAATTATTACTGTCATTAAGGCTTTCACCCTGCACTGCATTTAAACCCTCTCTCTGGTTCTCCCTTACAAGGCGCCTCCAGGAATACACCTGGCACTAAGCTCTTGTCTCTTCTCACCCATCGCGACTTTAATTTAACTGTTAGCTTTCACTGTAGTCCCTCAACCCCAAAGTATTTGCTGGTCTCCTCTCCTGCATCATTTCATGATGCTCTGCCACAAACTCATCTTTTTCCAGTTGTATCTAATTCTTCATTTTTTTCCTAGCCTGAACAGCCCCTCTGGCCCCAAAGAGCTCCTCCCTGCTCCTAAGATATGCCTGGTCCCTTCCATTAACGAGAAATGGGCGTTTCACACTCAGTCTATTAATCTTTCTCATGACATTCATCCTCCTCCTAAGTGCAGAAGGTACTTTGCACAAACAGAAAACTTCTGTGAGCTCTGGCTATCTGTTAAAGCTCTATAAAGAAACTCTATATACTGAACAATTTAGTAACAGCTCTGCCTTAGTGCCCAAATCATGTTAAATACACTACATTAAAAAACCACAAATGATGAAAAATACACAACTATTTGTGTATGTAACATTATTATTATTAATAATAAAAACAACAAAACCCACCAATTATAACAATAATCCAACACCATAACCCCAACATGAATTGCAGATGCCTTCCTAGCCTGTAAATCCAGTTTTTAAAGAAAACTCAGTATTCTGATGATTTGCTGGCTGTTAGTTAAAGAACTATCATTAATTAACCCCTTCTCACTCTCTCAGCTCCACCAAGGTGTGGGTGTTTAGGAAGTGAGTCCTGGTGGTGCTGGAGGCCCCAGGAAAGGCCCTCACTCTGCAGCACACACCACCAGCATCAGTGACAGAGCTCTTTGCAGGGCACGGCTGGAATTTCACCGTCAGGGACTACAAACAGGTCTGAACTAAATGCATTAAAAAAAAAAAAAAAAAGAAAAAAGGAAAAAAAAAGGGGGGACGGTAATAACAAATGAAACAAAGACTCTTAGACTGTATTGTGGTGGGCTCCAATAAAGTGATGCTTCAAATCTCTGAGTAATGACTGCTAGCATGAATATACCATTGTGCCGGAGGAGAGAAAAATGCTTTTGATGTGCCACCAAATGGAGACTTTTGTAAACAAGTGGAGCACAACTTAAATGTGTTCATCATTGTCAAAGCTTTTGGGGTTTTTCACGCGCATAAAGAACATCCCAGTGTAGTGTGGAGGAAGCCGCTCATTTCAAATAAAAATATTATGAATAGACAGATAATAAAACACACAAAATGCACAGGGTTTTGGTTTTTTTTAAAAAAAAAGAAAAATCATTCCATTTTGTAACTACTTAATTCTCTGAGTGGCCAGGAAAGGCCACAGATCAATAAAGTGTTTGTGAAAGACTGAAAGGAAACATAAACCCCAATTCTTCTGGCTGTTTGGCATCTTTGTAAACTTTGAGCCGGGCAGGCCATCCACAAGACCATGGGAATGTAGAGCGAATTGGGTCCTTTGTTAGCAGGGGTGCCATGGCATTCCATGTATCACAGCCCAGGAATGCAGCCTCTGCTTTGACTGCCGATAGAGAAAATGCATTCGGCCTCCAGCAGAGCTGCCAAAGCTGGCGAGAAAAGATAAGGAAAGTAGTAATTGGAGTTGGGATTGATACTGGCAAGGAGCACTAAACGAAATAAACTTTCATTAGAAAGGGGTGGGGAGGAGCAAGGGCTCCGGAGGGGGGGAGCTCTGCCTCATCCACAGTTTTGATTTTGGAAGCATCCTGCAAACTTTTACCTCCCACCAGGAGCTGGCTGGTGTCCCCACAGCAGTGGTGGCGAGCAGTGGTTCTCTCTGGCAGCCCCATCTGATGTTGCTAAGGCTGGCTGGGGTTCAGGGCACTGCCAGCACTGCTGCCTGGAGGAGGAGAGGCTCCTGCTCCAGGAACCTCCTCATCTCATCTGGGAGATGAGTTCTGAGCAACTCAGAATTTTTCCATTATGGGGAGGAGAGAGGAGTTGATTACAAATAACAAGAATTTTCCCCAGCTCTCGTGCAAAGTAAATGATATTTGTAAGCCTCAGTGAAATGGCTCAGCTTTGCTTCACAAAAAAACCCAACTTTGGCAGAATGAAAAATGCACCCGGGCCACATATTACAAACACACAGCATGGCAAAGACTGTCACTCCTCCCTGTGATTGGGAAAAAGAAGTGGATTTAGGTGAAAAAAAAAACACAACCAAGACACACCATCTAGCACCATCCCTTAAAGACCCTTTTCCTCTTGCATACATTTGTCCTTGCTACTGGCATTGAGACAATCCTTGGCAACAAAGCACCTCGCTCTCATGAAGGAAAGCAATTCTTTCTCATTGTGCCACCAATAATCAGAAACCCACATCTTCAGCCTCACTGTCTGACTTGAAGAACAAAAGGCAGTTTTCAGTCTTAACCCCAAGATCTGATTTAAAAGGGGAAGGAAGGAGGGGGAAGACCTTGACCATTCATTAACAACAATCTTTTTTCTTTTTTTTTTTTTAGAGGGGGTGGGGGGGGTGAAAAATTCTTTGCACACAAAGTAGTACTCCAGATATGTATATGGAGCCTGAATTCAACATCTTTGAGCAGAGTAAACCTTTGTGGAGAAAAAAAAAATCATGAAAAGGCACTGGAGATTAACACTGTTCATTCATGAAAGCTCCAACCCCCCAACAGCCTGTTTGAAACAAAGTATACCCCTGTCTAATTGGTGTACAATTGTGTCAGGAATAGAGGGAGAAATAATTTAGATAGTTAAAGGGGAGAAAAGAGTACAATTCGGTCATTATTTCATACTCCTCAGCTTTAAATGGTACTTTGGAGAAATAAGGAATTACGAAGTCTTCTTGTCTCAAAAAACCTACAAACTTTACATCCCAGCTTTACATAATTGACTTACTTATAGACCCAGTACACAGACAAATGAGTATTTCACATGCACCCACATTCATATAGATTTGCAGCACTTGCTGCAAGTTCTCTAATTTAACTATTTTTAAATTGATTTGATAGATTCAAAATCTGCTTTTGACTCATAATAAATCATTGACATAACTTGGCACTCAAACTGATGATGTAAAATCTCAATGAGACCGTGGAGATGGGTTTTTGGGATTTTGTGAGGTGGTTTGGGGGGAATTTTTTGGGGTGTTATTTCTTTAATTATTTAAACCTTTAAACACACACACAAGATACTTGTGGCATATGCCCAGCCCTAAACACCAGATATATTTAATTTGTCTCGACTTGCAAACTGAGAGAGAAAGCAAAGTCTGGAACATAACCAGCACCTGTTCACTTATTAAATTGTCTAAAGAAAGCACAGCTTAAGTTTTCTGTATCTGTACTCCACTGCAACCATCAACACAGAGTGCAAGAACCAAGCAAATACTGCCAATAAATGTAATGAAGCTTAATACCATACTTAAGTAATGAGTGGGCAAGAAACCTTTTGGGAAAGAAGCACCGCAAGAAGAAAGCTTTGCTTCTGACCTGGAATCACATGTATTTATTTTGTCTTGTTTAATAATCTTAATTATTGTAGGCAGTCCCTGATCAGTCTCGTGTGACAGGGCTCGCCGGCTTGTCCCGAGGTTCGTTTTTAGCTGCATACCACCTACAGCAATTAGCTGCTTGTGCTTTTGTCTGTTTTCTGGCATTATGCCCTTCCCTTTCATGAGATTCTTCTTTTCTACTTGGACTAGATGTTTGCAAGTCTCCTGGCTTTGAGCTATTTCAGCAACAATTGTAGTTGAAATACTTAATATTCTCATGAGAAGGACGGCTATGAGGACTGAGGCGGGGGGGGGTGTCAGCCTCACAGAGAATTACTTGGAAACCCAACTTAGTGTCACATTTAGCTCCCTATATGGAATACACACACAAAAACATCCTGCACACATTCAGTTGGCATGGGCAGCAAAGTGAAAATCCAGTGCACAAAACAGAGGAAAGAAAGTTCTAAGACATAAATGTAGCCTGAAATGTCAGCTAGCAGCAATTTCTTTTTTTTTTTTTTTTTAATCTTGCAATTTAGTGAAACAAAAATCTTTTCTTTCTAACAATCTTTTTTTTTTTTTTCCATGAGTGGAATGGGAAGAGTACCACAGCATTTTCAGTAGCAGCAGATACTTTGTATGTGCACTTCATCACACATTAACTAGAGTGAAGTGACTGCTCCCAAAGGACGCTCAATCACAGATAAATAAAAATTCCTGGAAAAGCAGCACAAATGAAAACATTTAACATTATCTATTGCCTGTGCCCCAAAGTGAGATGCACTGTCAATTCTGATGAGCCTTGACCCAAGGTAGAATTTAACATTTCAGTGTAAATTTTATGTATTGAATGATAATGTGTATAAGCACAGAACAGTGTCATGCAAGACCTGCTGACATCGCAAAAGGATGGCGGACAAGCACCAAATGAGCTGTTTGAAAACAGATTCAGTCATGTCCTGTTCAATTTTTTAGTGTAAAATCCAGGCCTACTGGCTTTTCCCAAAGCTCTTTGTGGCTGGCAAGGAGACTCCCAAGCTGCTGAAGGAGAAAACTGACTTCTAGTGACTTCAGGAAGGATAGCAGTATGGTGACAACATGGTGTAAGTAGTACAGAAAAACCAGCTTGCACACATGCTTGGTCCAGCAAGAAGAAACATTCCAAGCCTACAAGCCCATGCCACCTCCATCCTCCTAAAGCTTGATGCAACAGAAGTCACTGGCACAACATTCTCATTTATTTAGAGGTTAATGTGAATGGCAAAATGTGTGCTGTACAGAGAGGTGTGGAAGGAAAAGATACCCATCACAGACACCCAGATACCTGAAAAACCTGCTACAGCTCAGCGCAGCCACTCACAGTGCTATTCAGGTGAGGGACACAGTATCAGTGCAGACCTACATGTGGTTTTAACCCATATTGTCTTACCCATAAAGATATTCCACTCGGCATCCAAGTCCCCTTGATTGGCCAAGCAGCCTCTCATGACGTTAAAGCAGTAGTTGTAGCAGGGCTTTACTGACACCAGACCTCGGCAGTGTGGGCAGTACATCATTTTCAGCAGCGCTCGCGTACCCTGCGGCGTGGGGTTTACCTTCACGAGAGAAAAAAACAAAAGGACAAGAAAATTAGCCCTCAATCACCAAAGCAAAAAACCCCACACATTTACCCCAAGATGAACAGGACAGAGCTGTGCAGAAGAGACGTAGAGGGGTCAGCCATCACCATCTGGTCCCTGCTTATGTGGTCCACAGATCTGGGGAACAGATGAAAGGGTCTGGCTCACCTCCTTGGGTGTATCTGCCACTCCAGGGGACACAGACAGCCCCCATCTCTGCAAAACATTATTTGTACCATGCAGTACACCCTGTATGATGTGGGACCCCTCCCAGGGCTGCAAGGACAGGCACCCTAAGGGGACAGGCAGCACCACTCAAGCTCAGGAAAGGCAGTAAAATACATCCAAGTTAAAAGATGTCAGACAAAGCTGCATTCTAAACACACGCTAAAGATGATAATGCCTGGATTTTTCAGGAAAAAGCAGTATGTCAATACGGCATGTCTGACACGATTCCTGTACCAAACCCACTGGGAGTATATGCCCACCTCCCCAGCAGGGCTGTGGCTCTTCCTGGACAATCACCCAGCAGGGCTCCCCAGCACAGAGGCCAGCTCCTTTATATCACATTCAAGTCCCTCAACACAGCATTTACATGACAGATACCCGGGTTCATTTATACTCAGCACTCATCACGCTCAGTAACGCCATTCCCCACACCCGAAGGAGGTGGCAGCTACAACCCTGCAGCTGAGGACAAGCCGGGAGGACCCTCAAAGCCGCAGCACAGCCGCTGGGCGTGCGAGCGGAGCTGTCTGCAGCAGGCACGTCACCCCTGAGCCCTCAAAAGGGCTGATTTCCAAAGTGACTCATGGTCATTCATGTTTGATTCACTCTCTGGCCCAGCCTCAAAACATTCATTGAAACCATTTCCATCCAGCCAGTCCAAGGAACATTAGCTCCATCCCGACCACACGGTGGGCCCATCTCAAGCACTGAATAGAGAAGGTCCCTCAAGAGTAAGTTTAAGTGTTAATTAGCCACACATGAAAACTCCTTGTAAGGTGTTTAGGGAAGTGCTCTAAAGAGGCTGTGATCCAAGACTGTGCTGGAGGAGACACAAATGGATCCCTGAGAAAGAGCAAAGTCCCTCAACACAAACAGCTGGAGATGTGGATGGCCTTCACATGTCACCTGCTGGAGGTTTGGGAACTGACTTGATGGCAGAGAGGACAATAAAACTAAGTGGAGATGAATGTACATGAGGAAGATCTGGTACCACATATATGCTGAGGACCTTACTATTGCCCATCTCAGTGCAAGAACTGCGGAGAAACTAAGCCTAACCTTCTAGTTCAAAAACTTGTTGACAACCCATGAAATTAGGAGGCAACAGGTTTTAACAAAAACAAATAATAATTAAAAAAAAAGCATTACATAATCAGGCTGGCTTTGCTAATAACATCAGCAAATTTTCAAACCTTCATTTCTTATAGAAAGAGATGACAGATAAAGACCTGCTGTGTTTCTGACAACTCCAGAAAAACCACGGTTTCTCTTCAATGGGCAAGTGAACTGGTCAGAGAGACAGAAGAACAATTTTCTGCAGCTAATGCAGCTCAGTGCTGGATTTTGGCTGGCCAGCAATGTTCATCAGATAGCACTTTACCCTTCTGTTGTCCACAAAGAGCCTGTTTGGCTGAGAAGGAGAATCCACGTAGAAAGCTGTTTGTGATGGCTGTGGAATCTGATTCAGATGCTCCACTGCATATATACATTTTATATTCTAGATATATATATATATTTGGAAGGCACAGTGGGAGCAGGAGTCCCAGCAGAAGGCTCCCTATTGGGACAGCATGGCTTTAAAGGAGAGCTGGATCAAATACTAAGAGCTCAAGCAACAGAAACCAGCTAAATCAGATGATTTATAGTTGGAAAACTGGAAACAGACAAATGTAAAGGTATCATCTGCTATCCAGATGGTGCAGTCCTTGCACAACAAAAAAGTGGCGGGGGGAACTAAATAACATCTCGCACCCAGAGACAAGCTCTGAAGGACGCTCAAGTTTAGTAGTTTAGTTGTTTCTCTGATAAAAATCCCTTCCTGTGTCATTCAGCAGTAGGTGACAGGACCTCCACGCTAAGTCCAGAGGCTTATCAGTTGATCCTGGCCATCCATAAGGCACTGTTAGCCCTCAAAGGAGTGCTCTGCATCCTCCCCAGAAAGAAAAATTAGGATAATGTTGATAGCACAAGCCAGACTAGAGCAGTTTGAAGTGGAAGAGGAGCAGGAGGATTCCCCAACCCTATTGTGGAAAACTGCAGCCTTATGAAAGGGATTGCACGGCAGCATGCAGCAAAACCCCACCGGCAGAGCTGTGACCATCCCCTTCCCATCTTAAGTTCCCACCTCGCCCCACAAGTGCTGAGAGGCTGCAGCCCTGCAGCATCCCCCACTTAGATATTCCATAGGGATTGATCCTAGAAAAATCCCAGCAGATGCAGGGGAAACTGAAGCTGCTTTCCTGCATTCCACAGCAGACAATATGCAATGGTCACTTGGATTAGGTCCTTTAAGCAAAGACACGGGGCGATTTTAAAGCAAGTGAGGTTTCGCTTCCTTCCCCACATAGGTTTGAGTCCTGCACAGAGCTGAGCAGAGAGTGATCACAAAGGGGAGATGGAAAAGACAAACCCCAGCCTGCAGTGACTGCCAAGCTGAGCCCAGCTACTGATGGATGTAACCCACAGGGAAGCTGTTAGGGTGTAATACAGTCACAGGTAAAGAGGAAGATAATGGGCAAATTGATCAGTCTAGAACTGGCATTTTATGGCATCAAAAAGCAACAGGAAGGCACAATCAGAGATCACTCTAAGAGAGAGTTTTGGGGAAGACCATGAGCAATTACACCTCATTACAACAGTGATAAATGCTTAACTGCTGAGTACCACTGCAAGAAAAACCTTAACCCCTGGCACAGGGCCCATACCCAGTCCAAACCAGCTCTGGCTCTGTCAGTGGGGTGTGCCATATGTTGCACTGGCAATTCTTCACAAGCTTTTAATGTTGGCCCTGCCATGCCAGGTGCAAGCTCTTAAAACACCATTGTATGTAACAGTAAACCAAGATATGCTTTGTTCTGGGGTTGTGTTTATCTTGGAAAGCAACTCAAGTTCATTCGAACTGTACTCTAGAATGACCCTCAAACCAAGTAATCTCCTTTCTAATAAAGCAGAGTACCAAAGAAAGCTTTATTTGCTGGAGGGGATTTACTCTGGTAGATTTGAGCCCAGGTAGTAGTAGCTGCAGTGCACATAGCCTGTAAAAGCTTCTGATAGAAGTAAATGCACTCCAGCCCCCTCCTTTTATCTTGTGAGATTTATTTCCTTTCCATGGCGTTCCACGCCACTGCAGCAATCCATCACCCTGCGGTTTCATCATGTAAATTACAATTTGTCCATATCTATACGCTTTGTCAAACGTGAAGATTAAAAGCTGCTAACAGATGTGTTTTGGCACCAATCTTCATATCGAACTTGCTCCTTAAAAATACAGATTTGCACACAATTTACAAAAATTAAGTGAAAAGCAAACAACTCAGGGATTAATGCAAACATTCTGTATCATATTTGTTGGGGTAATGTCCTAACTTATATCGACTGGTGAAGGTAAAATCATGTTCCTGTAAAAATTACATGCTCGTGGCATAATAAAATCTGTTTTTCCTTCTACCTTGTCATATCCATCCCATTTCAGAGTTTCACATGAGGGAAACTGTTACACCCTTTGCCTTTTCCAACTTTCTGGCAATTACAGCTGGATGCATTCCTCTGGTAGAAACATCACCACTACAGTACACACCTATGGATGCAATGCCTTATTCACAGGTTACCACAAAACCACCAAAACTCAAGATAAACTGATCTGTGCAAGCAGATAAAACTCAGAGAAGCAACCAGGTTCTTTTTCATCTCCTTCCCAAGGCAAGGAATAGCTGACGAAGGATGACAGAACTCCAACCATAGACAGTCCTGCAGGGAGCCCCCACCAGCTGTCAGACAGCCAGAGCTACATTACATTCTCTCATTCTACCCTCAAGTTAACATTAAGAATGTTAATAACATTTAAAATCCTGTCAGCTTTAATAACTATTTATAATAACACTGATAACCCAGGCTTTCTTATTTTCTGTGCTTGCACAACAACAGCATTGCCATGCCAGCAGCACAGCTGCCAGAAAACAGAAATCAAACAATTTGAAAATAAATGTAGTGAAATTACTTTTGTTTTATACTGTGCTTTCTTTGCAAAAAAAAAAAAAATTTTAAAAAATGACAGCAATACTGGCTAAAAGCCTGAATGAGTAACTTCTCAGCGACATGGAAAGATGATTTCAAAAACACACTCTGAAGCTGCCTGTGAGATGCTCTAGGTGAGCAATCATCTTAAACAAGTGAGTAGTCATCAATTTTTGGGACCAACACAACTCTACTTGCATCATTTTTTTCCTCTCAGTGTTGTGCAAGAACATCATCTTGGCACACACACTGGTCCTGACGTTCGGCTCACTGTGAGGCAGAACATCATTTGGAAGGCTCCTGGTCTGCTTCCCCACCCCAAATATTCCAATGAAAGTGTTTTGGAATTAAGTACGCATTTAACCAATTTTGCTGGCCTGATGCTAGAACATTAATAATTTAGACAGCATCTGGTTCAAGCACAGATTTGGTCCTCTGAGGTCTTGCATAAGGGAACACTTTTAGGAGTGATTTTGGGTACTGAGAGTGCCTCAACACTTGCTATCCCCAGCCATGTCTGCTGCAGTGTTATCTCACGCAAGGAAAAGTTCAAGAGTACATTTATGCTCAATTCCATCCTTACAGCGTGCTCCCCCCACTCCAGATGTGACAGTGCCAAGAGGAAAAGCAGAGCTCCTGAGAATCACACCACCAGGCACTCAAGCTGCTCAGTCTTAACATTCACACGCTTGTCTTCCCCAACAGCAACCTCAGCCCACAAGGGGCACGAGGGA